AATAGGCAGAGGTCTTCTCTCTCGGTTCTACTTGGGAATTTTTTTAGCGATGTAATGAATTAAACTCCTCTTCACTTTTACTGCTTGTATAATATCTTAGGTTTACTTGTGGAGACTTAATATAAGCTAATCTTCTAAGCCACTATTACTAAGTCATGTTCTATGATCGCCAAATGCACTTTGATAGTTTACGTAGAATCGGATCATATAAGTTTATACTCAAAGCCATCTATTTGTCAGCTGGCAAAGAACACATTTTATCTGCAATGGCTTAGTGCTCTCCAAGTATATGGCAGTGCATGCTATTCCTTTAAATTCGAGTTTTACTATTTTTGCCTCTAAGTAACTTATTTTCTTGATTCATGCACACACACGCAGACTTGCAGACGGTTACCGGTCGACATTGCCACATACAATCAAACCAAGCACACTTCAAAAGCTTTCGCATTTCTGTCTCACTTTCTAATCTTTTCTACCTCAGCTGCATTATTTCAAGCATGTTGGCAAGCATTTTGGCTCCTGAAGTCATTTAAGCCGTTCAGCACACGTGCTAACATCTCATTCGTGTGCATCTGTTGCTTAGCTCCTTCCAAGCCAGTAAGCATCGTTCTCAAGCTGTCCCCGTGCAATTTGATCTTATTTCAGTCTATACACCTCTTATGATGCTAGCGTATTCCTCATAGTCCATTTGCTTCTGAGCAAACTTATTTTAAATTGAAATCAGTGGCAACTCTCGGTCTTGACTCTCCCATAATAAAAGAATTTAAACTGAGTTCATCAGGCCTTAGGGCTAGGAACTCGAATCTTGTTATTTAGATGTAATGCTAAAATAGCATTGCTTTATTCGCTGACTTGTGCTTTTATGGTGCCTAGATTTATGAATTTTTGTGGCAGCGGTTGTTTTGGGAGTGGTGACTTGTTCTTTCTGGCCTTAATGCTGGGATTAGTAAGATAATGGCTCACTGTAATTGAAAATGGCATGCCACTTATGCTGCCAAAAATTTGGATTGCTATCGTTTTTATATACGTTTTTATGTGTGTATGTGCATATGCTTCCAACGTACTATGTTTCTTATTAGAGATTTTAAGGCCTTTATTTTGACCACAGCCTTCCTGTTTGTGTAGGGTTAGTTTGCCTTCGTGGCATCACTTCACCCATATTTTTTGTTCTACCTTCTTTTGCCTTCGTTGTCACAAATCAGCTCCTGATCTTTGTTCGTTTTGTATCTTCCCCTTGTGCCTCCGATGTTTCTTTTGTTTTCGAGATGACTTTGTGGAAGCGTAAGGAGATCCACTCTGTTATTTTATAATACTTTGTATCATCTTGCACAGGATTCAATATATCTGAAAACGCCCAACAGCATTTTGGACACTTTTTGGTAGTTTTTTGATAGGTTCGAATAATTTATTTTGACTTTGAATATAACTCTCTTATTCACACTACAATCCGCAGGTTCAGCAAATAATAAACAGCAAAGTCTTATCTAAAATCTTGTGTTAACAGACTCTGTGCTTCTTTGATATATTGGCCGCTTATTCTATTTTCACATACTGCATTTTTGCTCCTTCTTTTCTACAGTGATTTGGGTAGAGAGCCATGATTGTCCCGATTGAAACCTATAATATTGCTCGATAACTGCCCTATCTTGCATTTACATAGCTGGATGTATGAAGATAGGTTGCTTCTCTTGCGCACAGTCCTTTTTCCGAATGACCTTAGAACCCTATATCATTGAATTTATGCTTACTTAGATTACAACCTAAACCCAGCATATGCCTAGTTCATAATGTTTGCTCAGCTTGTTTTTGTCTAAAAGGCCTGTGTCGTCATACATTTTGCACCAGTTCCTTTAAACTTTTGACGTTGGTTTGTACTAGGTAATTGGAGAATTGTCTTTCCTCATTTCAGGATTTATATCATATCGATAATCACACATTTATATAAATTAACTGACTGTTTATTAACTACAAACTGGATCAAAACACTCAATATAGATTCAATATTTATTTTTTGGATATAATTCTAATTTGTTGGTCATTGAAGCTTAGTTTTTTAACATAATTAGTTAGATATGATTGATTTCTAATCAACATGCATATGCTTACTTTAACATGCATGACACCGATTCAAGTCATAATTATGCTTCCTCTGAACATATTGCTCTGGATTATATTTCCTAATGGTGGTGAAATCTCCGTTTGCCAACTTTTCTGAATGCTTGCTACTCGTTTTACTGTTTTCTTTGTTTTCTCTTTCCATTTAACAGCTACTTAAAAGTATGCTTTCAGGCATGAAAACCAAGTCTTTCCTTCTAACACTAGCATTAGTTTTGCTCATTACTTCATCTAAATTAGAGTATAGAGTTCGAGTGGGTGAGAGTGGGAAGTGTACAAGGCGGATGACCAGGACTTTACCACAGCTAGGCTTACTTGTGATGGATGTCTTTTAGGAACGCTAGTCTCACCAAACACCTTCCTCAGCACTGGATTGGTCCTCTTTATGTAGAAGACTTAGAGGAGTAATCACATTGCACAAGCTAGAGCTATGTGTTTTGAAAATCCATACTTTTTATCTGACTTTATCATGGATAATGATGGTGCATAATGTGCTATCGGACTCATCAGTATTCCCCTAACTAACCTTTTTTAGCAGTTCGCGACCCTGAAATGCTTGGTGCATGCTGTCTCTTTATCACTTTATTTTTTCATATATATATGAAATCAGTTATGTCTCACATTTCATTCATTCATTTTCATTTTAGCAGCTTCCCCTGACAATGCTATGCGTAATTTATTCTTTTACCGCACTGGAGTATTTCTAGGGATGCATACTTTATTTTACCTACCTTTGGGTTAGTCAGGGAAACTGATGTGAGGCATCCAGTTATCTGAGTTTGTCTTTTTTCTGCCTATTTATCCGTTATATTTACCAGCTTTTTAGCTGGTCTCTGTCAGGTGGATGCTTCATTTTGTTCCACGGACCGACCCAATTCTGGCCAAAGTTGCTCTAACTGGAAAGAGCAATTTCGAGAGTCCGAGGCGCACTTTCACATGCCATCAGGTTCCTCACCATCTCATCTTCCACAGTTTAACCGCCCAACAAGTGGTTCCAATCCCTCAGTTACTTCCTCAACAGTTCCAGGCCAAACCCAGCAACCTAAGAATCTCCATCAGCATGTCTACTCTTCTCGTCCCGCCAGAAATGTTAATACCTCGTCTGCACGTGGCTCCTTTTCCGGCTTTGCGCCTGGCATGCTGGATCCATTTGATTTAGCTGGTTCATGGGGCCCTTCACATGTCCAACCTTCCGAACAGTCGGCCAGTGCCGGCACTCGCATCACCACTTCCATCAAGCGCACAAAGGCCTCATTCTGTGTGTTTGGCCTAGAGGTCTCAGAATGTCTCTTCTCTACACCAGTTCGATGCGAACTGGACGAGCATTCAATTGCCCGATCCAATCGAAAGCCGATTGATCCGAGACCAGAGTCCATACAGGTGAATTCTTACTTGTGAATTTCAGGACTAGGTGGAACCTAAAAATGTTGTGACATGATTTTTCATTTAGAAGGGAAAGTTTGTTGGATGGAATTGGTGAAATAGTCTCACCGGAAACTAAAACAGGATTGCTTTGGAATAAATACTTTTATATTGTGCGAAGGAGTCCTTGGCTCACCGTCCTGTGACCCCGATGAATCTGTTTCAGTCATGTGACATACATCATCAAAGTAAGAAATCATACTTTACAGGAAGGCGCATCAAATATAGTAAACCAATAAAATAAGGGTGGTCCAGGGTATACACACTCATTTGTATGCCCAACTTTAATATCCAACTGAGGTTTCCCATAATTTATTTCATAATTGTTGAGCTTACTTCCATTTCGAGTGAGAGTGTTTGATGAAGAGATTTGAAGGTCGATTCCACCAGAAGACGACGGCGGACGTCTTTTGACCAGCTGGCAATTGACTTTACTGGAAAATACTTGTTGAATCAGTTTCCGAGGTAATCTCCTACGATTTAGGTGAAAACGTTGTAAGCCTTCGTTCGTCAGACCAGAGTATCATTGCTGGGGGGACTTTCATTTCGTATGAAAGTGCATGAAGAACAGATTCGTAGGTCGATCTCACCAGAAGAGGACGGATGAATCCTGTTGTATTGCAGCCGCATCGCTTTTAAACGGCGTTCAGACTGACGCTTTCCACGAGACTTCCTCGTTTCGGGTGAAAACAGGCTGAGCTTTTGTCCATCATTTGATGGATATCACTAGAGCTGGGTCGCATTCCTGTAAAAGTCTGACGTTAGCGCTAGGTCAAAAAGACTATCCTGCTCTATGGTACCTCTTATATAGACTCAATTAAGCAAAAAGAAAATTAATAGCCTGAATAGATATAGAGTGGTTTAGTTAATTATCTTTCGTACTGGTCCTGCTACTTTTGCTCAAGCGTGTGCGTCCGTGTATGTGTGTGTCTTATCGTATATACCCAATACCGGCCCTAATTCATAGTTTTCAAAAGGCTAATGTCAGGCTCTATTCATCAAGGCTAAATGACCTGAGAGCAAGCCCTGATTGAGACTGCATAAGTCCATCAGCAAGTATGGTTGATATAATGAGATACGAGCTTGTAAGCATGTAAGTCAAGTTACACAACCACTTGTCCTAGCCTCTCAGTCTAGGGTCATTAACGTTTAACCCTCTAAGGAAA